GCTTTCATATTGAAAGACAAGTCCTCGTGCGTATCCTGCCAAAAGGCGCGTGCTGTCATTATTATAAGCTAAGCATGTCACAGCGCCACAATTTTCATTGGCATCACAAACCCATCTTAAGGTTTGATCTTGAAATGACAGTATGTGGCCATGAGCTGTTCCTACAGTGGTCTTCCCAGTAAATCCGACACTGAGGGCTGTCGCTGCTCCAGCTAATGACCTTTCCTGTAATAGCAAAAAAATTAAATCCCTATAATTTTGATCAAGAAATGTATGATCAGACCTGCCTTAACTTTAAAAGTAAATTTGAATCAGGCAATAGATCTTAGGTTGTGCATTTTTTATTCTCTTTCTTGATCTAATCTCTTTTAGATTGCAACTTATCTCATTATACGGTAATATAAAAATAAATACATGTTGGAATTGGGTCTTTCCCCCCGACATCATTGCTACCAGGTCTTGGTTTCGTGGGCGTCATTTGGGTGAAGTGTGAGCATCAAAACACTAGAGACACGGATTAACACAATATATTTCGGAATCTACACTTATCACATAGCAAATCAACAACACCGATCGAGCAGCGGGATCGTGGCACCGTTTTTATTTTTACTACACTACTCTCCTCAATCGACTCGCCACTTTGCTAACACGCACCACAACATGTCACTACAAACGCCGCCCTCTAAGCACTGAACTGCGCCTCGACCCCGCTCGAGCTAATAAGGGCCACTCGAGGCGCTTGCTCTGCTCTCATTGGTCGTATGCAAGTTGATGTACTTGTAATTTTAAAAAGAACTAAATACAAATGACATCGAATTTCTACTTTTGAGAAAAAAGGAATTAAATCTATAATATCATCTTAAGCAATATCAAAACGTAAGACAATAACATTTGTTACACATAAAGCAACAATGAATTTGTAGCTTCCTGCGACATATATATATGACATATTATATAAAAAAATAGTGCACCTCCAGCTACAGAATCCCGACTCTAACAAGTGGTCAGGGCTGAAGAGATAAGAACCTCCTCACTAAGTGTGTGGGTTTTCTCTACATTTATATTAAATTATAAATAGAAAATAGTTTACTAAAAACATCCATTCTGATTTTTTATTGATATTCTTTAACATAAAAGGTTCAATGGCTTTCTATCCGCATATTATGTTTACAGATAACAAATAGTGGAATGTTAATCATAACATGCACAGGGCATCACTGTTCTATCTGATCTGTTCTATGTATTTGTACTACCTCTGTTTTTTGTGCCCAATTAATTAAAATAATTGTTTTATATGCCTACTATCTGTTACTTGCGACTTCGCCCATGTGACATTAAAAAAAATAAATAAAAAGGCCTATGACTTACAGATATGTGCATGCAAGTCACTACTTGCATGGAGATGAGAGCTACCAAGATATATGAAAACTATAACAAGAACCTTTTATCAAGCAAACTATTTATATCTTGAAGATGTTACTTCATTATTGTCAATAATATAAATGAAGCATTAGACACAGCTAATATAACTCATGCAATATATTGCACAGTATCATACTAAATATTAATAAAATATATTTTGCATTAATTGTAAATGTACCTGAGCCTGAGTTAACTGTTGAGATATAGCTTGCAGAAATTCCAGTTGAAGCGCCGAGCAGGTCATTGGTTCTTTGAAATTTTTGTCATTGTCTTTGTCATTGTTATCATCAAATCCACCATCTTCCGCAGACAGAGCTTCTGCTAAAGTAGGAGCTTCACTTGCAGGCAAAGCATATTCAACTTCATCAAGCTACAAATAAAAGTTTTTACATTTGTCGTACACATTTAGAAAAAAATATACACTAAATCTAAAGACCTAACTTTTTTGTTTACCTCTTCAAAATCGATATAGTGCAGACTTTCGACTGATTCTAAATCGGAATCTAGCAATGATTGAATTGACGGTGTTTTCAACAAATCCATTGTTTTTTTCTTATTTAATTTAATTACACACACATCACGAAGAACACTTCAAATCCAATCGATATATACTAACAATATTTGTTTATTTTTATAGTACATTGATAGAAAAGTTATGTTATAATATAATATTAATATATAAATTCATGATCAAGATTAATATCCAACCGGAATTTAACCACAGATTACAGAGGTGTATTGTTGTATAGTGCCGCAAGGATGTTGTGGCACCTTGTTGACATTGACGGGAAGGCGTCTCTGAGCATTTAGTGTTACCAGCAAGGTAATATGTCCACATTAAAAGGAAATTCTTTCCTGTTGAAAACGAAAACGCAAATTGTCAAAGAAGTACTTGTACCTTACAGTGTAACTAGAAAATTCTCCAAAATTTGTTTGTCGATTAGAAGACTCTATAGTTAAAGAATCTTTGTAGCAAACTTTTAGCAATGTACTCTTTTGAGATAGTTAGGAAAGAAATAGTCTTAAAACATAATAGAAATTGTCTTACTTGGCGCTTGTCTACAGAATAATAGAAATCAGAAAAAATTGTTTGTTGTTTACATTTAACGCACAATACAAACTATGTGGTATGCCCCGTGGTTTGAACGAAACGATGCGGTATAAAATCATCAGACAGCCAGTTTCCTCTTCACATCGACTTGGACTTAACCACCATAGCCCAACACCTGAAGCAGGCGTCGCGTCGTTATTTTGACTCTGCCGTCGGTCAT